GGCCTGGATGAGCTGCAGGTGGCGAGGGGCGGGGCCTCCGGGAATCAGGGGGCGGGGCCAAAGGTGCGAGTCAGGTGCTGGCGATTCAAATATGGCGCCTGCCTGCCGGCTCTTTGCGGGGAGGACTCGCCACAGGAGCAACGGCCTCCACCAGCCCGTCTGCCCGGGAGGAAGCCGCCCCTCCACCTCTCGCCCGGATTCCAGGCAGGTTAGTTCCTCCCCGAGTGTCCTGGGTCCTTTCCAGTTGCTGCCCGGCGCTGGGCTCAGAGGGAGCATCCGAGTGAGTCCGTGCCGGGCCCTTTAGAGGAGCTGCTGGGGCTCCTGCAGCCTCCGCGACCCTCAGGGACAGTCCCCACTGGTTTCACAGCCCGGAGTTGTGGGGACTTCTCTTCCTGGCCTGGACCCCCTCCCTCCTCCGGGAAAACTCCGCCGCTGAGATTCCCTCCCGGGTTTCAACCTCGGCACCGGGTGTGGGCCCGCGGCCACGTCTCTGTGATTCAGCCCCGATCTGCCCGCGTCTCCCCCTCCTACCGGTCTTGATGCTTCTTCTGTTCCCTGGTTGTGGGGCTTCTGTGCAGCCAGATTTCAGGAGGCTCTGAGGATGGTGGTTCTGTATTTTAGTTGTAATTTTGATGCGGTTGCGGGCGGCGGCTGGTGCAGCTACTGCCTACGCCGCCATCTTGTTTTTCCTCCTCCTGCCTTGTGTTCTTAAGCGGTGTGTTTAGTCCAGTTGCATTTAGTTAATTATTGATATGGTTAGATTTAAGTCTACCGTCTTGCTCTTTATTGCCTATTTTCCAGTTTACTCTGTTCCTGTTTTACTGCCTGCTTTTGAATTAATCATATTTTTTAGTGCTTCATATTATCTCTTCTAATGGCTTTTTATACTTGGCTTATTTTTCATGGTTGCTCTAGGGATTATATATGCATCCTTAACTCATCACAACCGACCTTGAATTGGAATTGCACTGTTTAGCTTATATGTAAGAAACATATATATTTCATTTCCCCCATCCATCCTTTGTGTTATTGTTGTCATGTATTTTATTTCTACATATGTTGTTATGTATATGTTATTTCTATGTATTGTCATATATTTTTCTACATATTTTTACATATGTCATATTTTATTTCTATATGTATTTTATATCCACAATACATTGTTATTATTTTTGTTTTCAACAGTTGTCTTTTAAAGGAACTAAGAAACAAGGAAAAAAATATTTTATACTTCCCGCACATCTCTATAATTTCTGTCTTCTCCATTCGTTTGTGTTAGTCCAAGTTTCTGTCTGATATCTTTTCCCTAAAGAACTTTCTCTGATGTATCTTAGTGCATGTCTGCTAGTGAAATATTCTCTCGGCATCCAGATATCTGAAAATCTTTATTTTATCTTTATTTTTGAAAGATGGTTTTTTCTGTATATAATTTCTAGGTTGAAAGTCTGTTTTGTTTTATTTTAGTACTTTAAAGAGTTTGATCTCATTGCCATCTGGTTTGAATTGTTTCTGTGAGAAGCCAGTCGTTTTTATTGTTGCTCCTCTGTGTGTAATGTATTTTTTCTCTTGTGGCTGCTTTTAAGTTTTTCCTTTATCTTTGTATTTTCAGTAGATGTGTTGTCTCTGCTGTGTTGGCCTGATGAGAATAAACCTAAAGTGAAAGAGAATCTTTTCCTTCAAAACCTCTCAGGCTGAGAGTCCAAGAGAAGTGATTAGAAATGCAAAGTGAAAATTGGAAAGAGCTGCCCAGTTTGTAAAGGTGCTTGTTAAAGGAATGTGGTGTCAGCAGTTAGGGAAGGGAAACCTAAAATTGTCTTAGGCGCTTGCAGAACAGAATTAACCTAGAAGCTGAGCCGTTTTCCCTTCTCAGCTCAGCGTTAGTTTCTTTAGGTCAAACCCACAAAGTTAAAGAGCAAATAGCCCCAGAAGTTTGAAGGAAATGACAATCACAAATTTCTGCATTTGTCTCTTCTCTCCAGATGCCTGTCTTTTGGGCTTATCAGCTCTACTCTGATCACTGTGGTCAGAGTCAAAATTTCAGAGAGGCTGGGGCCTTTAGAAATCACCTGGGACATCAACTGTATTGTACAGTGGGGGCCCTGAAATTGCCCAAGAACCTCAGCCCCTCCTTAACTAGACAGTCTAAAGGGACTGCTATTAACTCAGTCCAAAATGAATTGCTCTCTCCAGGAATCCTGCGGCCTCCAGTGGCTGCCCATGTATGGTAGATGCTCCTCTGTTGGACACAGTGTAGCCCCTTGTGGCCGCTCAGGCCCCACAGGCCATCCCCAGCTCTGCTCTTGGCACCTTTGGTGACTTTCCATTGCCTTTGTTTTTCAGTGTTGTTCTCACCCTGTAAAGACGCCTGAAGTGGTCCATAGTCGGCTGTGTTTAGACTCAACATTCTTTCCAGAAACGAGCACCAAAAATGGTCTCACAGGCATCATGATGTCACCTCCCGTTCCAAAGCTAAGGCTTGGGGTGTCTAACGTTTGTTTTAGGGGTCACTTCAGGTGAAGTGAGAGAGCTGAGAGAAGTTCAACAAGACTCACAGCCGGGGAGAAAAACAGGGTGACCTCAGAGATTTGCCTTTTGGTCCTTAATTTTTTTTTTCGTGATTTTCAGAGATATCTCTGGAGTCTAGGGAAAACCCTCCTAACCAGGGCCTTTGTAAGAGCTTGTACTGGTCCTTTCTCGGGCATAAGCAGTTAGAAAAGGACCTCTTACAGCTCATTTAGACTTGTGCCCTGTCCACTCAGTCATCTGTGATACTTGGTGGTGCATTGTGTCTTCTTTGGCAACCTGCATTCTTCCAGGGCTCGCAGTTCTCTCTCAGCCATGGGGATTGCTGTGCGAGGTCAGGCAGGTGTACTAGGAAACGGGGTTTGGGCACTGAGCAGGGGGCGCGGCTGGCCTGCCCTGCTTGCAGTCAGGGCTGGAAACTCCTGTGAAGATCCCATTTCATGTTAGGGTGATGTGCCTTAGGTATCTCTTGGTTGGTTGTTTATGTTTATTAAGAAGGTATCAAGGATCCCTCAGTTGGTGAACAGAAGTTCTTTACTAAGAACTTATGTGTATACGCTCTGTCATAAATGTATATTTTAGGATTTTTATTTCTAGCACTTTGGGCTTTACCGTGGAACAGCAATTTTCAACCTGTGTGCTGCAAGAACTTTTTTTTTTTAATCCTCATTTGAGGATATTTTCATAGAGAGTGGAAGGGAGAGAGAGAGAGACATTGGTTTGAGAGAGATGCATCAGTTCGTTGCCTCCTGCACGTGCCCTGAGCTGGGGATTGAGCCTGCAACTGATGTACATGCCCGTGGTCAGAATCGAACTCGGGACCCTTCAGCCCACAGGCCGATGCTCTAACCACTGAGCCAGACCGGCCAGGGCTGCAAGAACTTTTAAAACATGCAATACCTGACTACTTAGTCAGGGGCACTGATCTCTTTTCCCTTAGATTGTCAAGTAAACAATTGAAAACAGCCAACACAACAGTAGCCATCTGTGTGAGTGAATCAAAATTACACCTTTTTTTGGTCAGATCGGCAAAAATATTTTTGGTGCACTGCAGAATTTCAGTAATTAGTTTGTGTGCCATGAGATGAAAAGGTTTGAAAATTGTTGCCTTAGAATGTAAAGCATGTTTGTCTCCCTCAATCCTGTTATCTGGTGCCCATGATTATATCATGCTTCCTGTGTTATTTATGCTGGTAGAGAGCAATGTTTCTGAAAGGGAATGTGTCCCTAGGAGGTATCCTTTCCCTGTGGGCTGGGGCCTGGAGCACAGATGCCTGCATTTGAGACGTTCGGTAAAATGATGCCTCCTTGTTCCTGTTCCTAAGGGGAGGATGCCTTCCCTTGACCATTCTCAAGGAATTCATGGAAACTGGAGGTGATGTCCAGCCTGAGCCAGTCCCCTGGGCACAGGCATTTGGCTGCAGTGCTGTCCTGAGGGCTGGGGCAGAGGGAGGGCCGTGTCTCACTGCCAGCTTCCGCTCGGCCTGGGTGACCAGGTTGAGCCCTGGCAGGTGGGCCTCAGGCTGCGCTGCGTGGCTTACTGCAGGCCGCTTCCTCTTGCTCACTGTGCCTTTTTCCTGCAGACTAATTCCTGAGGGCCCGCACTTACTGAGAAGGTGTGGACCAGATAGAAGCTTGGATATGGTCATTTATATGGGAATTGTGTTGAAGTCTGGTTTCTTTGTCTAATCAACCCCAATTATGATGTTTTCTTTCCTCTTGTAGCACCTGTCCCTAAAAGCCAAAAGGGCCAAGGTCCAGGACCAGTGAGCAGAGCTGGGCTGCTTGGGGCCGTCTCCTCCATGCCGCTGCCCCCCAGCCCTGAGGCACGGTGAGCTGTCCTGGGCTCATGTGGAACTTCAGCTGCTCTGACAGGGGCCGCTGCCCATTCCGTAGCCCCCTCTTCCCGCTCCCTTCAGCACCTGCATTCCTTGCTGGCGTCCTGGAGGAGTTGTCTGTGGCAGGCACCCTGCCGCTGCACCTAGGCAGAGCGGGAGTTGGCAGGGCTCCGCTCCTCAGTCCCCGGCCCCCTCAGACCCAGCAGGCCATTCCAGCAGGCACGCTGTCCTGGCCCAGCCTCGTGGGGAAGGAGGAGGGGAGTGAGCCACTGCCAGCTGAGGCACACGTCGGGCACAGAGGGTTTGTCGGCCTGGCTTTGCTTTCTTGCGAGGGGCCACAGCTGTCGACTGGTGAGGTCCACTGCCAGATGGGAGTCTGTCCATCTATGGAAGGAGAGACCCTGGAAATGCTGTGGATTTCCACCAAAATCACCCAGGGCTTGCCTGGCAGGCACAGGGGCTCCCGAACCAAGAAGCTTTTGGTTTCCCCTTTTGCCCATGTCCCTCTTTAGCTGCTGCCAGAAGACTCGCAAGGATTGGTGATTGACAGAGGACTTGAGCACTGTTCTTTGTTAGCAAAGGGTTTCTCTATTTCACACGTGGTCTTGGCTTTCTCCTTGTACAATATCCTGTCTTGATGCCACCAGCAGAGCAGCAGTGAAAGCCCATCAGCTCAACCCCATCCGATCCCTCCGCAGCAGGAACTCACAGCAGTTTACACTTTAGAGGCGCTAAGCTTCTCCAGCTCAGGAACTAGTATGTTTGGTTTTGTTCGTTTGCCGGGCTCTGGCGAGACCGCGGGCGGCTCCTCCAGCAGGCACTGGTTCATTGCTGCCCAGGCCTCCTCGCTGTGATGCTGGCATTTCAACATGTGACCGATCCAGGTTAGTTCCCTTTCCTGTTTCAGTGACATTTAGTTTAAGAACAGGTAGCTTAAAAGTTTATTTTTGTACTGACCTTAGTGTGTACGTGCCACTTTGGCACCCAACGCATATGTCATTTTTATTTCCATTTTATAAACGTGTTAATAATAGTGGTAACTTGTTAATAACAGTAAACCTTTATACTTAAAGTAAATGTATCCCTCCCACCCTGCTTCTCATGGTCCACTTCACTCTCCCCAGTGAGGGCTTGACATTGGCTGCGAACCTGACGCTGTGGCGTGCAGTGGCTTTGGGGTCTCATAGACAATGGCAGCCCCGTCCTGCAAGGTCATGCAACCAAATGCCCTCAAGTCCTCACTAGAGCGAACCATGGGACATGGTTTAAATGAAGTCCCAAGGATTCTTGCAGTTTCCTATTGGGATCATTCTTAGAGAGGTCCTAAGTACTTATTTATATAAAGTCTGAATTTAGTACTGGGGCTAATCTGTCTGCTATTGTCCTGGCCTCAGCACAGCCTCTGACCAGCGCTTTCACTGGGTGTCCCAGGTGCTGCCATTCACTCAGTCCTCGGGCAGCCTGTCCCTGTTCTCAGCTCCGCTTTGCGGGACCCAGTCATTACATAGGGCTGAGTGGTGGGAGGCACAGGACCAAAGCGCCTAAGCCTGTATGACCACGAGACCCCATCCTGGAGCTACTGGACCTGACCTCTGGGAGTGGGACGGGGTCTGCAGCTTGCAAAGTTCCAGCCCACACGATTCTAAGGTGCTGGCTCGGGACCTATGGGTGATGTGATGGAGACGGCACTTGAAGAAGTGCGGACATCAAGACCAGGGAGGGAGGTGAGCCAGCAGCCGGGAGGTCGGGTGGGGCATTAGGCTTGAGTGGTGGTTGCCACATTTGTTTTTTGTACAGGTGGTACCCCAACACATGTCTAGATGTCACCCCAAACCCACTCTGGTCCCCGAAAGCACTGTGATCAGTGTGGTGGGAATTCAACTCCAGGCAAGTCCTGGTGGTGGGCACCGTTTTCCTGACTCCCATAATAATGAGCGTTTCAAGAGGCTCAAAATTATTCTACATAAAGGACTATCCTCTAGTCTTTTTTTGGTTTGAATATGTTCTTTCTTTTAGAAAATGATGGTAGTTTTAAAAATGTTTTCCTGGAACACTAAAATACTGACAATCTTAAATCAGTCTCCTAATTAAAAACCAATTCAAAACAAAAACAAACACGTGGTTGATGAAATCTCCAAGCTTGGGAACCACTGGGTTGTGGGCTAAGTGGACTGTGGGCCAGCTGGCAACACCAGCACCGAGCCTCAGCCCTAGAAAAATGGATCCATCTTGCCTAGCACCTGAATTGCAAGTGAGCTGGAGCAGCTGGGCAACTACCTGTCTTTACATAATTGGAAGGGTTCAGATTAGCAGGACTCGGCCCCCATATCAATTACTGCTCCTTTAGATAAGACCAGATATTTCCACTCTCCAGTGACTCATCTGGATTTTTTCTTGGCCTTCCAATTTAGGCTGAAACAGGATGATGGAACTGTGGATTTCCTGTCAGCTTAATCGTTTTTTTTCTGTCACTGAAACTGATAAGAGCCAATTAAATAGTTTCAGACACAGCTGCCGCTTTGAGTGAGGAGCTAGAGTCTGCCTGGCAGGTCTGGAGAGGGCTTGTCCCTGGGGCCTCAGTCACTGCTCCCTCTGGCAAGATCACATCCTACCGTTTCTGGTGAATCACGGATATTACCTGGTGCACTTGGGTGGTGGTGAACTTGTTCAAACGGGCAGTCTCCTTGGCTGCCAAAGAGATTCCTGATGCAGCATTTTCCCCTGGCCTGTGGCCTCAGCCCCCACTCGTGGGTTCTACTAAAGGCAATGAGCAAGCAAGGGAGGCTGGGAGGTCCAGGAGGGTGTGGGTGTGGTGGTGAGGGGCTAGTGGTGATGCCCAGAGCCCGTAGCCAGGTGGAGGTCCAGCACAGCTGCTGCTCTAGGGCCTGGGCAATACCTCTGAATAAAAGGCGCTCGCCAGGCTTTTCACTGGCCTCAGGCCGATGGGGCAAAACCTGACATATTCAAAGGTAGCTCGGGCTCCTCCTGCCTCTGGCCTACTGCACCTGGACCCGCTGCAGTCTGCCTTCACTTGGGCTATTCGCTCTATTCCCACTTTGTTTTCCGTTTTGAAGGACAGCTGGGTCTGCTTAGTGTCTGCTGTTACTGTGTCTACTCTTAGCTCTTCTTTGTTTTTGGTCTTGTTTTTTGTTTTTGTTTTGTTTCCACTTGTGAGGATTCATTTTTTAGAGTGAGAGGAAGGGAGAAGGAGTGTGAGAACTTAACATCAATTGACTGCCTCCTGCATGTCCCCTACCAGGGATTAAGCCCATAACTTGGGCAAATGCCCTGCTGGGGAATCGAATTGGGAGCCCAACCGGCAACCTTTTGGTGCACAGGACGATGCCCAGCCAGCTGAGCCATAGCGGTCAGGCTTCCCCTCTTTTTTTTTTTTTTATTATCATGAAGTTGCTTCCTTTTTATACTCTTTTTAAAAAGTGCTTTTACCTTAACATTTATTTTAACTTCTTGGTGTTTTTTAAACACTCTACTTACCTGTTTTTAACTTTTATTTTGTACTTGGTACAAAAACAAATGTCATTTAGTTTCGTTATTGCTGCTGTTCTGTAAATATTTTCTTTCATTATTTTTATCACCTTAATACATTGGTTTTAAATTCATCTTAACATTTACCTCCTATTTCATTTTATTTCTATTATTCTCCATATCTTAGTATGCTTAATTTTGTTTTCGTGGTTGGCAAAAGGCCTAACTGTAGGTGTGGAGCTGAGAGAAGATATTTGTAATGGTTGAAACCAACAAAGGATTAACTGTCAAGAATATACAAGGAACTCCTACAAATCAACAACAAAAAGACAAGCCCATTAGAAACAAGTGGGCAAAGGGAATGAACACTCTATAGAAGCAGACCCCAAAGTCTACCCAGCCTGTGAAGAGAGGTTCAAACTAATAACCAGAGAAACACAAACTAAAGCATGTGCATGACCCACTATCCAGAAATTTCATGGGTGGGTGAATGTTCCCAACAAAAATCGCACCTCGGTCCATGAGGAGAAGTGTAAAAGGATGCTTACCCAGTGTGACTGCGGTGGGAGGGATGGTGTAATGTCCACGACTGGGACAATGTACAGGGAAGTTCTGTGGGTGACACTATGGAGTATGGCAGAGCAGTTTCAAGTCATAGACATCTACCCTGGACCTTAAAAAGAGCTGAATGAGAAAAGTAAGAAATCCTCGGAGCTGAAACAGTATCAGCTACAGCCACTAAAAATGCTTGCACACAAGAAACAATACAATGTTTGCAAAAATGTGCAAACCGAAGCACAGTAGAAGGGCTGCCTGGAGGAGGTGGGAGAGGTTGGGAGTGAGGATAGGGGATACAAGAAAATTAAAAACGAAACAAAATGGGTAGTTCTGTGGAGTTTATCTGGGCACAGCTCATCCATATTTCAAGACAGGAACTTGTAGGACAGATGATGTCATTGTGAGCCCTTCCTGTTTATCAGCATCTTTAAGACAGAATTTACGTTCTCAACCCACAGGGACTGCTGTCCCTTTACTTCAGCTCCTGGCATTGTGCTTCGGGAAACTTCTTGCCCTCAGCACTGGCCTGGATCATTATGAGGCTAAAAAGAACAGGATATGCCAAGGCCTTGAAAATCCCTTGGTAATCTTTTATCATCCAAGGAGCCAATAAACTTCAGCTATGTTTGCTGCCCCCTGCGGCTCCTGCTCTCATTGGCTGGCCGGTCATTTAGAACCCTCTTGATTAACACTGGTGTCTGGTTTTCCAAGAATTGCCTTGTAGGGAGGAGATATCTGGGCCAGGTTAGTGAAGCAACATGCAAAGTAGAAGAGGCCACCAGGGACCTTGCTAAATTTAAGTGTTACTCTAAATTTTTCATTGCTGGAGAAAGGGTGTTCTAGATCATCGTGGCTTGGGCTTTGGACTCCGAAGGAGGGCAGATTCTGGAACAGTTACCTGTCCCAGTGGTGAGTGGGGTCATGGAAACCCAGTCTAAGGAAACAAGGCAGTTTTCCTGTTCCCAGATTTATAAACCAAGGCCAGCTCTGCTGGACTGTGATGATGCCTGGCCCATTCTGAGTGGGCCCAGGTGGGGTAAGATTTTTACATTTGAATTTTACCAATTGATTAATCTGTTGTTCCAGCTAGAATTAGGGTTAGAGGTTCCTGTACTCTTGTAGCCTCTCCTGACTGTGCCCAGATGGGATTCTGACACCCACTGAGTGCCAAGAATAACTTGCAGGCCACATGGACACCCATCGGTGACAACACGCCTGGGTGTCTCCTGCGTGGTGGGGGCGAGGGCACTGAACCCTGAGTCAGGAGACCCAGATTTAGAAACTAAAAACAAAAAACCTTTATTGAGGCATCATTTATCAAGTATAGGACATTCCAGCCAAAAGCTTTCCTCATCTCTAGTAATCCCCGCCCCCCACCCGCAGGCCTCAGGCATCACCGCTTCCCCACGAAGTGGTTTATCTTTTCTAGACTTTCATGTAAATGGAATCATATAAATGGAATAATTCAGAATATCCTCCTGTGTCTGGAGGAGACCTGGGTTTAAGCCCCAGTCCCATGACTAGATAACTTGGTGACCCTTGGCAAGATACAATTCCCTACTTCATCTCAGTTTTCCTGCCTGTAAAAGGAGGGTAATAATCACTGAGGACATTCACTCGTGCGTGTGTGCCCGTGCTGGACTTGCTGTCACTGTGGCGCTCCCAAAGGAGCGGGGCCAGGGGTTGCTCAGTAACTGGGGGCCTCTGCTCTTCTCAGCCTGTGCGCAGGCCCCCTCCCGCTGCCCCTCCCTCCACACCCATCCTGCCTCCCAGGCGCCATGACTGACCCCACACCCCCTTCAAAGAGGGCTCCTTTCATTCAAATGGGAGATGCGAGGACACCCCAGGAAGGAACTGGATGCAGTGCTGAGGGCCCCCATGTGGACAGAGGTGACTGAGGCCTGAGCAGAAAGGGAGGATTATGCCTGGGAGACATTCAGAGGCCTGCACTGGGGCGTCCCTGGCCTTGGGGCTGGGGACACTGGGGCTTCCTGGGGGGAGTGAGTGAGAGCAGAGGGTGTGCAGGGCTGCTGGACACTCCAGGTGAGGGGTGGCATCAGGGACAGACCCACGCCTGGACACACTCCAACCCACCCAGGAACAAACCCAATGGACACCCCCGACCCTGCACAGTCAGGCAGACTCCCTGATACTTGCCGCACCGGGAAGCCCTTTCAGATCTGACTGCGCACGGTCCCCTCTCCCCAGCATTCAAATATGTCTTCATCTGTGCACCAGGCACCAGGAGATGCGGCGGCGAGCACGGCCAAGCCTCTGCTCCCGTGCAGCTCACTTGCTAGAACAGGGTCCGATCCCACATTCGGGCGCACCCCGGAGAGAGGGAGGGTCCTGCCTTCCGTCATCTGCTCGGCCGCTGAGGAAGCGGAGTGGGGTTGTGCTGCCCTCTGCTGGCCATAGGATGCACTGACTCCCCGGACTGGGTGCTCCCACCCAGCAGGGCGCCGAGGGCACGGGGTAGGTGCCTTTGGTCCCTTGCTTCTGGCAACCCGACAGAGCAAACACGGAGAGGCAGGGGCGAGTGAAGAACTCTTCCCCTGAGCCCTGATCTTGTTATATCCTGCATGCCCCGCTCTCCTTCCCTGTGAGTACTGGGATTTGAAGTGACAGTTGAATCCAATCATGATTTTTTTAAAAAACCTGTCCCCTGCAGCACCCTTTCCCATGGCCCCGCCTCTTGACCCCCAGCTGCTGCAATTGTTCAAGGGATCACTTCTCAGCCACTTTACATCCAGCACTGATGGCAGGACCTATAGCCTGAATTTGGAGGTGGAATCCAGCTGACACTGAAGGAGGCCAACTCCCCGAGGCCAGGGAGCTGGAGAGGCAGCCAGCAGGCCTAAGCTCTGGCCAGGAGCCCAGTGGCGCCCAGCCTCAGCCTGGGGCCAGGATGCACACGGAGACGGCATCTAGGAAGGG